ACCAACCCCCTCCGCCCGTGGCCCCACCAACCCCTCCGCCCGTGGCCCCACCAACCCCTCCGCCCGTGGCCCCACCAACCCCTCCGCCCGTGGCCCCACCAACCCCTCCGCCCGTGGCCCCACCAACCCCTCCGCCCGTGGCCCCACCAACCCCTCCGCCCGTGGCCCCACCAACCCCTCCGCCCGTGGCCCCACCAACCCCTCCGCCCGTGGCCCCACCAACCCCTCCGCCCGTGGCCCCACCAACTCCTCCGCCCGTGGCCCCACCAACTCCTCCGCCCGTGGCCCCACCAACCCCTCCGCCCGTGGCCCCACCAACCCCTCCGCCCGTGGCCCCACCAACCCCTCCGCCCGTGGCCCCACCAACCCCTCCGCCCGTGGCCCCACCAACCCCTCCGCCAGGGTCAGCCCGTGAGGGTCCGGCCTGCGCGCGTCGGATCGCGACAGGCAGCGGCGCGAGTGAATTCGGGGCCATTCACGCGCCACTCGCTGAGAATTAGCGGCGGAAATTCCGTGCGATTAACGCCTCCGTTCCGGTGCCAGAACCCCACACACCCCACACACCCCCCACACACCCCCCCACACACCCCCACCCCCACACCCCCCCCCCACACACACCCCACACACACACCCCTCACACCCCCCACACACACCCCCCACCCCCACACCCCTCACCCCCCACGCACACACCCCCCACACCCCCCACACCACCCCCACCCCCCACACCACCACGCCCCCCACACCCCCCACAAAAATCCCCCGTATAGCCTTAACAGACAGCAGGGGCAAGTGCTGATAGCGAGCACCTATGAAGGCCGGAACGGTACACGAGGGGGTGGGTGGCCAGCACCACGCCCGAACGCCTTTGTCTCCCCAGTGGCGATGTTTACACACCGCACCAGGTACTCATTTGAGGCTGAGTCGGCCTAGGGGAGGACCAGGACCGGTTCAGATAATCGTCACTGGTGTTGGCCGTGAGCGGGAATTGAACCCGGGTCGCCAGGTTCATAGAGCAGCGCGCTAACCGCTACCCCACCGCTCCCCTCCACACACCACCCCCTCATACCCCCCCACACCCCCCCTCAAATGACAAACCACAGCCTCCCTTGCCAGCCCTCTGCCACGGCGGTGGCTGTGCCAGGAGCTCATTATTCAGTCCGTTGCGACATTCTGGCCGGGGGAATTAGCTGCCCGCGGTGTTTATCTTTGCAAGGTGCAATTTGACGATGGGGGCGGGGTGAGGGGGGGCTGTCGATGCTGGATTTCAACCGGAAGGTGAGGAGAGTGTGGGAATGAATGAACACTTTTATGCGTAAAAAAGGGTCCTGCTGGGCCAATAACTCTGGCAAACAAGAAGGGGGGGGGGGGGGCTTGACCCGATCCCTGCTAACAAACCTCGAGTTTTTGTCCCATGCATTGGCCAGGAGGACTGAGAATTTTAGCGATTAAAATTGAGCCGGAATGGTCCGGAACGGTGTTAATTCCGGGAATTGCGTTGGCCACCACATCCAAGCACCTTGGTTATTTTTCTGCCCTCATGATATCGCCTATAACTGTTACGAACCTGTTCATATGGTTATAGCAAGATAGGGCGATGACGGATCGGCGGCATCTTGTATTCTAGTGGTAGTGCCTTACGCAGGGGCGGTTTCTTCATTAGGGCGATTGGGCGACGCACCACCAATCTCAGCCGTTACTGTGCCTCTGGATATAGTCCAATCAGCGTCATGTCACGTTCTGTGGAGTACCGCCTCTTTTTGGGCGATTTCACTCCGGCTGAGAATCGCCCAGAGTGTTCCCATAGACTTACATTCAAAGATGTTTTGTTTCGAACGGCGGGCGCTCCAATGCATTCTCTATGGCTTCCGGGAGGGCTCGCACTAACGTGCTTACGTCATCATACGTAAGCACGTTTCATCCAACAATATAATTTGTCGCCACCTAGTGGAATCTTTAATAAAAGAAACTTGAGTGGATTGTATTAATAGTGAGTATAGAAACAAACAAGATGTATTGTAAGAGTCACTTTATTTTTCATTAATATTAAAGAAGTGAAGTTGCCTTTACACGCTTAAGCTGTTATTTATCCATTGCATGGGTGGACCTTATCCTTATCAATCATCCAGACATTTGCCCCCCCTGAGAGATTTTGCAGGAGCCGCCACTGGCCTTACGCCTATGATCCCTCCTCGCAGCCAACCTGGCAGCGTTTCCATTACGGCGCTTGAGGTGGTGGTCGTGAGAGGAAATGAGCTTATGGTGATTACAATTTTCACTCGACTAATCTAATTCATCCCAGCTCTCATCTCAAACAATAGTTGCGTTGTGAAAGCGGTTTAACTATCCCGAGTGTACATACCTGTACATGTTTTGGGCGAGAAGGCCAGGCTAGGGGCCCTCCAAAACCCACGAACCCGCGAGGTGGCCTGATGTGGTGCTGGCGGTGGTGCTGGCGGTGGTGCTGGTAATCCAGCAGCTTCTGTTTGACCGCATAGAGTGCGGCTAACCGGGCACGGCACGGGCTAGCGAAGAGATGGAGCTGATGCTGTACGGCAGGATGTGGAACTGGGTGGACTTGCCGACGACTGGTTACCCTATACCAGCGCTGTCAAGATCGGCCTCTGTGGAGGAGGCTCGTGAAGGACGCTGCTACTGGGCAGTTGGAGGCAGTCGCCCTTCAGCAACAAGGGAGGGCGGAGGAGCGACGCTCACAACAACGAGCGGAGCGCCGGGCGGCTGAAGTGCTGCAAGTTGGCACTGCAGGGTACAGCCGGCGATGCATCTGCCAGTCATGCCAGTCAGTCAACCCATGGGACCTGGGGGTTTGTCCCGTGACCTCCCGTCAGCGAGAGCCTTCGACACTTCCAGTGGCCTCAAAGCGCACCTAGCCTGGCACAGGCGCCGTGGTGACGTCGCCGTCACATAGTGGCGAATGGCGGTGTTGGTCATCCAGGATGGGTAATGCTTGAAAAAAGATTCGAGAGTAGTGCACATTTCGAATGAACGCCCCAACCGTGCTAATCGGAGGTGCAGTAACGATTCTATGGGTAGTGATCGTGAATGGGCAGTGTGTATGTTGAACTTCTTTCGCACCGTACGTAGCCAACCGTGCTCACCGGGAAGTGCGGCAGCTTCAGAATGAGAATTCACAACACAACCCCCTTCCGAGTTTGATCCACGGTTCTCGCACGCCGTTTTTGCGTGTTTTTGTGTTTTTTTTTGTGTTTTTCGTGTGTTTTTGTGAGTTTTTTTTGTGTGTGTCTTCAACGAGATCGCGACACGCACGAGAGCTCTGTGCAGAGCGCCCCCCTCCAGAATCCCCTACCCCTTCCCTGCAGGGCAGGGACGAGAGCGCCGTGCCCCTGGCTCGTTGACTCTCACCACCTGTGGCGAATTACTTCCGAAAAGAAATGGAAAATCCGCGCCTGGGCGTCGCGGGGGTGGCGAGTCTGTCCACAAGACAGCCTACGGTGGAACTCCCCACGCCAATGGTTGCTCGTTGTTATTTTCACTCTTTGGTTCTATCGGTGAAGTCACGTGGTTGCGGTCGAAACGTCGTGATTTGTTTGATTTGATTTTCTACCCACGTGACTTTACCGAAAGAACCAAAGAGTATGGATTCCTGCAGTCACGAAAGCTTCAAATCAAGATTGACGTGAAATTTGTTGGTTCGGTGATTATTTTTTTTTGGTTTGCTTACCCTTCCTGTACGTTGCACCCCGATCGCGTTTTTGTCGTTGTTGTTGTATTTTTTGTTGTTGCTGTTGTATTTTTTGTTGTTGTTGTTGTATTTTTTGTTGTTGCTGTAACATTCTGAGCCGACCCTACCGGAGTACCGAACATCTGTGAAAGAAAGCTTCATAGCTCATCGGATTCCTCCAGTCTAAATACATATTCTGATTCGCTCTTCCACGGCCAGTTTCCTCTGTGCGTTCCTCTGACTCGGCTCCCTCGCACAATGGGTGTCCGTGCCTGCTGTTGTGATGCCCTTCTATTGTGTTGCCCTTCTGTTGTGCTGCATGCATTTTGAACTTCTTTCGCACCGTACGTAACCAACCGTGCTAATCGGAGGTACGGGGGGGGGTAAGCTAAACAAACTAAACACAAAAAGCAGTTCTTAAGACAACTCGTTTGTCAATCTAGATGATTTAAAAGTGCAAACCTCCAGTGCCTTTCTAATATCGGAAGGAAGAGCGTTCCAGACGGCCGCAGAAAGTGCGCGATGCATTGACCGTCTTTGTTTGATGGCTAGCCAAAAGCCACCGCGCGGATGACAGGAGTTCGCTTTTAGTGTTTGGTTGGCTACGCACGGTGCAAAATAAGTTTAACATACATACACGCCAATGACTAGCACACAGACAGAGTTAACCGATTCAGTTCATTCATTACTTGAGCATGAACATCTTTTTCGATTTAAAGCTTTCGTGACTGCAGGGATTCATCTTCTTGGTTCTCTCGGTAAAGCCACGTAGAAGGGAAATAAAAAAATAATAAAAATCAAACATTCTTTTTATTTTATTATTTTTATTTTTATTACTATTTCCCTTCTACGTGACTTTACCGAAAGAACCAAGAAGATGAACATTTTTTATTTTCTGCTTTAAAGGGACACGTGTCTTTGAAGTGTGCAATGCATGCGATCGAGTGCATGGGGAGCAGTGGTGCAACGTTGAGCGCCCTGTTATGGGCTTCCCCTAGGTCGACTCAGCGTCAAATTAGTACCTGGTGCGGTGTGCATAAACATCGCCACTGGAGAGACAAAGGTGGCCAGGCGTCGTTCAGGCAATCCACCCCCTCGTGTGCCACAGTGCCGGCCTTCTTTGGTGCTACTCGCTAACAGCGCTTGCCCCAATAGTCTGTTGTGGCTACACAGGGGACCTTTGTCTTTGTGTGTCCGCGCCAAATTGGCCCTCACACTCGTCCTCCAGTAGCAACAACTGTTGAGAGCTACAACAACAACAACGACGACAACAACAACAACAAAAACTACTCGCAGGTGATGACATTTCGAGAAAGACTGAAATTGGATTTATTTTTGGGAGAAAAAAAATAAAAAGCCACAATCTAAAAAATGCACAAATCACATTGAGAATTCCCCTTTCGCGTGAAGCCATAGTGACTGCGGCTCGCTGTCGGTCGCCTGCCGTCGTGAAATCTCCGCCACTTAAAGCCAAGAGGTGCATTGTTGGGGGGTGTCGGGACTGCCATGGGTGGGGCTGTGCGTGAGCAGACGTGGAACCGTAATGAAGCTTAATCTCCGCACTTGACCACACGATAAACGCGATGAGAGCATTACGTTTTATTTTTTCAACTCCACCTCGGTAGAGAGTGACACGGACATCAAGCGGGGGGAGCGGTGGCACGGTGAGTTGGAGCACCGCGCTACGAAATCTGGAGATATTGAGCTTCATTTTCCCAGTGACAATAACTTCAGTGGCGTGTGATATTTGAACCGGTTCTGCACCCCCCCCCCCGACCCGCTACCACCACCATCCCCCCCCCCCCCACCGCTCCGCACTAACCAGCGTGGTGAAGTATGGTCAAACAATCACCCCCGTGAGGTCGCCTATATCCCCAGTAGCAGATTGATGAAGGCTGGGACACTCCTATAATCATCATTATTATTACTACAACTACTACACACTGTTGGAATAGTATCGTACTTTATATAAAACGATAGTAATTCTGTTGCTTAATGTTCCCTCGGCAGCATTGAGTAGGAGACGTTTCGTTACATTTCCGTCCGTCCGATATCGAATGGATGGGTTGCAGCGCACTCTGGTGGACAATTGATGGAATTTGTGAAGAGAAGGTTTTTAATTTATTGTACGTTTTCATTCAGTGGGGGAGTAGAGAACGCGATGGGACGTTGCAGATGTTGGTCCATGTTCGCAGAGCAGCAATCGGGGGTGCCACTTAAGGTCGCCAAAACTTTCGTGGGGCCGATGGATTCAGGTGAATTACACAATTAGCCCCCCACCAACCCCTCCCAACGCCCCCCGCCGCCACCCCACACTCGTTTCAATCTCGGCTGCCACAACATTCGCCCGTTTGCCCTAAGATCACGCGAGAGGTCAAGGGGCGGCGACTCTCCGACGGCTCGGTCACGTTCTCAGAATGGACCAAGGTTGACCGTATAGTATGTTGACCGTATAACCAAAACAAAACATTTTCTCCAAAAGACGGACAACCACCGGGAAAACGGGACACCCGGGAGACCCGAGGCCCATGTGGCGCGAGACCGCGACGGACGAGCCGGCGGCAACACGTTGCCAAGCGCAGGGAGAAGTGGAGGGAGCTCATTGCGGCCTTTGTGTCCCACAGGGGATGAAAGGGAATGAACTAAACTCGCAATCCGCCCGTTGTTGGCCGCCGACCGCAGAAGAGAGACGGGAAACCGGGCGGCAAAAACGTCATTGAGCCCGGTTCAGTGATTGTGCACCGACCCCCCTGAATGAAATGACTGCGCGATTCTGAGCTCGTGGACCTAACGGGAGAAATTCGCTCCGTGCCCCCCCCCCCCCATCACCATCGTCTCCGTTTGAACACCAGCAACACGATAACCAATGAGAAAGACGCAGCGGCTCGATTGGCCGCTACAAACCCCACGACGGCGACGACCACGACGGTGACGATGATGTCAACGATCGCTCTCTCTCTCTCTCCGGGGTAGGGGGCTGTGCGGCAGCGAGCGGGGCGACCGACGTTTCGTTTGCGTTCGTGCGCCGCTCTCTCTCGAGGGTGGGGCGAGCGCGGGGACCTCAGAAGAGGCCTTTGTCTCTCTTCACGTTTTGCTGTTTCCACAGCGGCAGGCTGTAGAACGCTTCCCTCCTCATGCTCAGCACGCGCTCAAAGTCGTCGTCAGAGAGGTAGATCTGGGGGGAGGCGGGCAGGGGGGGAGGGGGGAAGAGGTGTTAGTATGCACGTTGAACTTCTTTCGCACCGTACGTAGCCAACCACGCTGATCGGAGGTTGCGTTCGCGCAGCGGTTGGCGCCTTTGCGCTATAAAAATCCCGATCGACTCGCCTGAGTATGGAGTCCCAGTAATGGCTGAACAACGTGATCATCGATCATCATTGGTAATTGTGTCTGAACTGCTTTAGCCCTCAGGCCTCATCGATGAACCACGTCCCAATGAACGCACGGTCTCGCCTTGAGCTCCGATTGACCCTCACACGGAGCAAGAACATGCTCACCGTGGCCTGTACGATACTTGAAGCAGCGCATCAGTTTTATTCACCTTGTACGTATGTATGTTGAACAACAAACTATGAATCTCTGCATGAGTCTATGGGTCTCTGCGTGAGTCTATGGATCTCTGCGTGAGTCTATGGGTCTCTGCGTGAGTCTGTGGGTCTCTGCGTGAGTCTGTGGGTCTCTGCGTGAGTCTATGGGTCTCTGCGTGAGTCTATGGGTCTCTGCGTGAGTCTGTGGGTCTCTGCGTGAGTCTGTGGGTCTCTGCGTGAGTCTATGGGTCTCTGCGTGAGTCTATGGGTCTCTGCGTGAGTCTATGGGTCTCTGCGTGAGTCTATGGGTCTCTGCGTGAGTCTATGGGTCTCTGCGTGAGTCTATGGGTCTCAGTGTGAGTCTATGGGTCTCAGTGTGAGTCTATAGGTCTCAGTGTGAGTCTATGGGTCTCAGTGTGAGTGTATGGGTCTCTGCGTGAGTCTGTGGGTCTCTGTGTGAGTCTATGGTTCTCTGCGTGAGCGAGCGTTACGCACCTCCTTGACCTGGGCGTCCACCCCGCTGGGCAGCTGGTCGGGCTCCTTGTTGAGCAGCAGCTCGGGAGCGTAGAACTTGTCGGCGACAGGGATGGGCCCGGTGGCCCACAGCGCGTTGGGCGAGCTGGAGAAGCCGTCGCGCGTGGTGATGTTGCCCGTGTTGACCGCCGCCGCCGCCTTCTGGACACTCGTGCGCTCCTCGGCCGCCGCCAGGTTCTTGACGTTGGTCACCTGCATCTCCTGGGGGGGGGCGCGCGCGAGCACGCACGAGCACCACGCGCGGGGTGAGGGTGGCGATGGTGAGGGAGCGCGCTCGCGAATCAGGGGCATTGTTGAACGTCTTACGGAGCCAACCGTGCTCATCGGAGCTGCAGGGGAAGGAGAGCAAACTATGGGTCTCTGTGTGAGTCTACGGGTCTGCGTGAGTCTATGGGTGTCTGTGTGAGTCTGTACATGTATGTATGTATGTATGTTGAACTTCTTACACACCGTACGTAGCCAGCCGTGATAATCGGAGGTGAGGGACAAGGACGACAAACTAAACACAAAAGGCAGTTCTGAAAAAAAAGAGTTTTCAAGAGTGCACACCTCCAGTGGCTTCCTAATATGTTGGAAAGGAAAGAGCGTTCCAGACGGCCGCAGACGCGCATCTGAAAGCGCGCGATGCAGTGGCCGTCTTTGTTTGACGGCGAGCCAAAAGCCGCTGCCGCGAGTTGGTCGTGACGATGCCAATCTCCTGGTTTGCCGAGTGTCAATTTCTGGCAAAAGTGGCTTTGCTGCTGTAGCCGTGTCAACATTATTAACTCGAAGTCTTGCAGCACCACTTTCCAGCATACAGGTGGCGATCGCGCCCTGATGAAACGCACCAAAAGGCGACCGGAGTTTGAACTTACAATAAGCAGTCCCCCCCCCCCCCCCCCCGAGCCTCCTTCCCTTCCTCTCTCAAAGTCTCACCTCTTCACCATCGCTCATTCCGTTCCTGGTCGCATCCCCCTGCCCTTTCGTGATGCCTAAAGACCCCTCTGTCACTGTCACTCATGCCTCAATCCTCGTAGCATGCCCCTGACATCGACATCATTGTACTCATTGTGTCGTTAAGCTGTGTCAAGCCCCTTGAGTGAAGGCGCTCTATAATTAAAAACTAGATTAGATAGATCACCTTTCACTCACATAGAGAACCACACAGTGACGTGAGACCCATAGACTCACACTGAGATCTATAGACTCACATGGAGACCCATAGACTCACACTGAGACCTATAGACTCACATGGAGACCCACAGATTCTCACTGAGACCTATAGACCCACACTGAGACCTATAGACTCACATGGAGACCTACAGATTCTCACTGAGATCTATAGACTCACACTGAGAACCATAGACTCACACTGAGACCTATAGACTCACATGGAGACCCACAGATTCTCACTGAGACCTATAGACTCACACTGAGACCCATAAACTCACACTGAGACCTATAGACTCACATGGAGACCAGTGCCGGATTATCCTAGTAGCAAAAGCAGCATATGCTATGGGCCCCGTACTTTCAAGGGCCCCGCGCTTAATACTTTCAAGCTATCAATTCCGGTTCAGTGATTCTGCACTTGCTCTATTACTATAGTACTATACTGACTTCAGTTTTATGAACGACGTGTTTAAGGTTAGCGACTTGTCGTAATATCTGGCTGTATAGCAAATGAAAAAATGCAATTACTTTACTATGAAAGTAAAAATGTATGTTTTCATATTTATGTGTTTTTTGCATTTAGGGCCCCTTTATAACATATGCTACAGGCCCCGCACTAGCTTAATCCGGCACTGATGGAGACCCACAGACTCACATGGATATCCACTAAATCACACAAAGAGCAACGTGAGGGAGACATCATCGGCAGTGACAAACCCCTCGGCTACTACTCCTGACGCAATTGCCGGGCTCAACCACGTGGTGCTTGCCGCTCTAGATCGGTGTTCTTCACTCGTTTTCAGAGGTCGGGGGGCCCATTTTCGACGTTAAGACATCGTCAGTGTGAGGGCCGCCACACCATTTGAAAGCATTGGGGGGGGAAGGTGCTTTCACAAGTTGTCTATTGTCGGGTGGACCGCACGTCAGGGCCCGCGCTAAAGGCCACCAGGGGCCGCCTTTGGCTCGCGGTGGCCTGGCAATGAAAGAGAAATGCTCGAGATCAACGCGAGCCATGCAAGAGAAGTGGCGTCTGCAGTTCTGTTTCCGTACCCCCGTTGCGAAAAAACACAAACTCACCGATGTGATTTTAGTGATGGCAGCGACGTCTCCGAACTGGGCCTTCAGGTCGTCGTAGGACTTTCCAGACTGAGAACAAAAGAAATCGACAACGATAACGGCGGCGTTACCGCTGCGTAACGCGAAATTACGAGTCACGCGCAAAGCAAGCGCCATAACACGAGTCCTACTAAGGTTGTACGAATACAATATCACATCTTTTGCTACTTTGTGAGTTTTAGCGGTCGTGGTGTTGTAAGGCTTTCGGTGTACAACTCGCGTTGTACATTCAGCACGATGTCCAACGTTTTACTCCGCGTGTGCCCCGGGTGATGAATCTTCAGCGCGTCTCTATCGAGCGCTGGTAGTAATAATAGCGTAAACTAACAACAAAGCGAAAAAAGCGCGACAACAAAAAAGGCTCAGTCCCATTTGCACGCACCTTTACATCATCCGCATCTAGTCTACACAACAAAGGCTTATTCCTAAAAGCGTGCTTCAGCTGCACCGAACCTCACAAAAATAATATTCAGGGCCTACCTTGGCTCCTCCCACCCTCAACCAGTATATATACAAGGACTGTTTTCTTGGAATTTCTCTCACTTGATACAGCAGTCGTGCTGTGACAGTTCCACCTGAAGACGGAAGCTTGTGTTGCCTCCGAAACGTCGTGATTTTTATTTTATTTTACTTTTATTAATTTTAATTTTTTACCTACGTGACTTTACCGAAAAAACCTAAGAATATGAACGCCGACAACAACAACGAGAACAACGACGACAACGACAACAACGACAACAATGACGTACGCTCCACTTGAAGCTGTCCCAGGCCTGGAACCAGCCGGTGAACGTGGGGGGCTCGTAGCCTTGCTTGACGACCAGCACCGGCGTGTCGCGGTCTCGCCCGCTCGGGTGCGTGTCGATGTACTCCTGCGCCAGGCGCACCGCCTCCTTCCTCTCCGTGTCCGTCGAGCCCTTGCCGATCCACAGGAAGATCTGCCACGCACGCACGCACGAGGCTTGTCTCGCCATCGAACAAAGAACGGGCACCGCGTCGCGCGCTTTCAGATGCGCTTCTGGGGTCGTCTGGAACGCTCTTCCTTCCGACATTAGGAAGCCGCCGGAGCTCATTTCTTGATAAATGGTTTCTGTGTTTAGATTGCGTGGATGGCCACGTACGGTGTGAAAGGATTTCAACATACATGCAAAGACAAAGATCCCCCGTATAGCCTTAACAGGCTGTAGGAGCAAGTGCTGTTAGCGAGCACCTATGCATGCCGGAACGGCACACGAGGGGGTGGGTGGCCAGAACCACGTCCGGCCGCCTTTGTTTCCCCACCGCACCAGGTACTCATTTGAGGCTGAGTCGACCTGGGGGAGGCCCAGGACCGGATCACATAATCATCACCGCTGTTGCTGGCCACGAGCGGGAATCAAATTCGGGTCACTGGGTTTGTAGCACAGCACGCTAACCGCCACACCACCACTCCCAAGACATATGCACGCATCATCATCCGCGTATCTAGTCGTGCGTGTACAAATCAGTCACTGAGTATTTATGCAAATACATGCGAGTTAATTTCCTACCAAGGCTTTCACGGCCAATGTTATGAATCGTATGTGCGTGTTAAGCTTGATCCCCCTTCAACTGACGAGGATGTTCTAGAACAGCTTCAGGAGGAGAGGCATTTCATGAGAACAATCCAGATCAACAATCCAGAACTATCCAGAACTATCCAGAAGATTTCAAAACAACCATCCAGGACTATCCAGAATAATCCAGAACAACCATCCAGAACCTGGAGAACAATCCAGAACAACCATTCAGAACCATCCACAACAATCCAGAATTATCCAGAACAATCCAGAACAACCATCCAGAACAATCCAGAAAAGTAAAAACACGTGGGTGGGACAGATCTTGCAGATTGACGAGGGCTTGGTGAAGGAAGCACGGGTGGATGGTGGCGCGTCGCGAGGTCTGGAGCTTTGTTGGCAAACCACCGACCGCTTTGGGAACCCCCGCGACCTATACCCCTCGTCCCGCGGCGAGCTCGGCTCACCTGGTCCCAGGTGTCGAGCAGCATGACGTCGTCCTCGTCCAGGTCGTCCTGCGAGAAGTCTGTCACCTCGGTGGCGAAGAAGCGGCCGGTCTGCGTGGAGCACTCGAAGAGACGCGGCTGCACGCGCGTCTCCTCCTCCTGGAGCCTGCGGAGGTCGCGGGGGCAACGGCGGGGAGGGTTCAACCGGTGACGCGGAATCAAAGACAAAGATTCACCACCCCCGTATAGCCTTGAACAGACGCTTGGGGGCTGTTCGCTAGCAGCTATGAAGGCCGGCACGGTGGCGCGGGGGGTGGGTGGCCGGCCACCTTTGTCTTCTCAGGTGCTCATTTGAGGCTGTGTCGACCTAGGAGAGGAGGCCCAGGACCGATTCGGAAAATCAGAATCAGAATATTTATTTACGCTGGAGGAATCCAATGAGCTATAAATCGCTTTTTCGGAGATGTCCAGTCGGGGCACGGGGCGAGAACAAAAACATGATCGGAGGGCAAAGTACAAAAAGTAAACAAATCACCCCAACCCATACAAACGAAGCTATACCGTCCCCATCCTACCAAGCAAAAGCCACTGAGGTATTCACTTATTTTTCAGAAGCAACCTGGCCACAGGATTGTCAGTCTCCCGGCGTGCTATTTTCATTGTACTAAGTAAGGCCCACTGAGCTACATAGCTCTTTTTCAGAAGCGGCCCGTCATGGGGACACGGGACGGTTACCCGGCATGCTACGCCATGTCACACAGCGCCACGGGCTGAATTGGTCTGGGAAATGTTTCAGTTCTCGGAGAAGCTCCCGGCACGTGGAGCGAAACGTCGGACGCCGACGCGCGACGCGCGTCACCCGACCCCGTCTGGAGGCGGCGACCGCTCACCGCTTGTCGTTGGCGTAGGAGGACTTCCCTCCGAGCTGCACCCAGAATTCGGAGGGTTCGTGGCCCTCCATCACCGTCTGCTTGTCTCCCTTCCACAGCAGCTCCGCCACCGTCTTGGCCATCTCACGCTCGTCCCCGCTGCAGCCCTGATGGGACCGCACGCGTGCAGATGAACGCAGACGCACACACACGGAGATGCGCGCACACGCGCAGACACGCAGGCGCACGCTGACGCACGCAGATGAACGCACGCACACGCACGCGGGATGAACGCACACGCACGTACGCGGATGAACGCGCGCGCAGACGCACGCGCAGATGAGCGCAAACGCACACAGATCGGCGTGCACGCACACACACGCGCCCACAGACGCACGCGGATGAACGTACGCGCGCGCACGCACACGGACGCACACAGAGAGACGAACCTTCGGGCCGTCAGGACATTTGGGGGGGGGTTTTGAGCCTTCGTGCCTTTGCAGGTAAAACCTCCCACCCAAAAAAAATACCACGCAACCCGTCGCGACAACAATGTCTCACCTTGCCGCACCACAGGTAGCACGTGTTGGTGGTCTTGAGCACGAAGACGTCGTTGGAGTTGAGCGCGGAGGCGCGTGCCGGCACCTCGATGGCCTTGGTGGTCATCTCGTCGTTGCCGCGCACGTGGAAGAGGCGCACGGGCGGCTCGGGCTCCTTGCGGCTATCCCGCGACGTGCCGCCCTGAAACCCGCGGCGACGGGACGAAGACGGGCACGCGCGTGAGTACGAATGCACGCGGTGCGTGAGTACGAACGCGTGAGTACGAACGCGCGCGGTGCGTGAGTACGAACGCGTGAGTACGAACGCGCGCAGTGCGTGAGTATGAATGCGTGAGTACGAACGCGCGCGGTGCGTGCGGTGTTAGCGTGCTGCTTACGGAACCCGGCAGACCTGGGTTCGATCGTTCCGAACCAGTCCTGGGGCCTCAAAGTGAGCACTAAAACTGAAACTTGTGTTTGTTTTACCAGGTAAGGCCCACTGAGCTATGTAGCTATTTTTCGGAAGCGACCTGGCCACAAGTGATAGCTCGACGAAGTGGCTGGTCACGTGGACGTCTATAGCAGCCAGATGCTCTAAAAACGAGTTGATTCTAAATGTCGAGGGAAAACCCGGAGGATTCGGAGAAAAATCCTCGCCACTACGGGCAAAGGAAGAGGGAAAGAGACACGCACAAACTCCGAATACACAAGCAGGCGTCATCAGGGTCGGGATCGACGCCGCGACCTCCCGCATACCGGACGAGGTAGTCAACATCTCGCACCTCGTAAATGACGAGCTTGCCGCGGAAGATGGTGAGAAAGTGCCGCGGCTCCTTGCCCATGACGACGCGAACCTGCACAGCCTCGCCGCCGTACTTCCCATCCAGAGCCACCGCCTGGTACGCCGAGGCGGTCACCTCGTCCTTGGTCGCGTGACGGCCCTGTGCCACAACCACGGCAACCGCACAGAGACAAAGATCCCCCACCACGTGTAGACTTAGAGAGACTGATGGGGAAAGTGGTGTTTGACATCCGCAGCCATTACAGGACTACCACAGTGGCCATCACAGTCACCATGGCCACCACAACCACCATGCCCACCGCCACATTCACCACCACAGCCACCACCACCACAACCACCACCACAGCCACCACCACAACCACCAACACAGCCACCACCACAGCCACCACCACAACAACCACCACCACCACAACCACCACCACAGCCACCACAACCACCAACACCACAGCCACCGGAGACGAAATCGCTCTTCAGGCAGAGTTCAGGGGTCATTGAGGATACCGGCTGTTGATTTACGATGGATGAGCTGATGATGATGACTCGTTATACGACGGTGAAGATATAATGATCGTGATGATTATTATTCATAAGAGACATGATGATGGTGATAAACATACGATAATCATGATCATAGATGATGACGAACATGTGATGATGATGTTTAAATGGTGATCAGGATAATGATGATGATGAGGAAAGTGTGTGGATGATGTTGATGATGATGATTATGCGAATCACAATTAATACATCATGATAATAACGATTATGGGAAACGTCATGGTGACCACGAAAATGATGGCAATGAACATGATAATGATGATGATGAACACGTGGTGATACTGCTGCTGCTGCTGTTGAAGATGGTCATTATGCTGATGCTGATGATGATGAACACGTGGTGATACTGCTGCTGAAAATGATCATTCTGCTGATGATGATGATGAACACGTGGTGATACTGCTGCTGAAAATGATCATTCTGCTGATGATGCTGATGATGATGAACACGTGGCGATACTCCTGCTCAAGATGATCATTCTGCTGATGATGCTGATGCTGATGAACACGTGGCGATGCTGCTGCTGCTGCCGCTATCAACAAGCGCTGTTTACCTGCCACATGTAGAGCATGTAGGAGGGCTTGTTGTTGCGCTCGTAGGTGTAGAGGACCAGGTAGCAGTCACCGCCGTAGAACTGGCCATGACGGCGCTTGTCCACGGCCACCATCTCCAGGTCCTCGATGCGCCACACCTGGGAGGGGACGGTGCCGGGAATGACAATAATGATGACGACAATGATGATGATGGCGATGATGACGACGATGATGATGATGACGATGATGATGACGATGATGATGATGATGATGACGATGATCACGATGGCGATGATGATGATGGCGATGATGACGATGATGATGATGACGATGATGACGATGATTATGACAATGATGATGATGACGATGATGATGATGACAATGATGACGATGATGATGACAACAACGACGATTATGTTGATGATAATGACGACGATGGCGGTGGTGATTGTGATGGCTTCGTCGAAACACTTTTGCTTATGTATTGTATGTATGTTGAACTTCTTTTGCACCGTGCGTAGCCCACCACGCTGATCAGAGGTGCGGGAGGAAGAACAACAAACTAAACGCAATAAGAAGTTCTGAAAGAAGTGAGTTTTCAATCTAGATTATCTAAAAGTCCATAGCTCCCGGTGGCTTGCGAATATCAGCCTCAAATGAGTACCCGGGTGCGATGTGTAAACATCGCCACTGGGGAGACAAAGGCGGCCGGGTGTGGCTACTGGCCACGTCACCAGCTCATCTGCCATGCCGGCCTTCAGCATTGCTCGCAAACAGCACTTGCCCCGATAAGAAGGTCGAGGCTACACATGGGACCTTTGTCTCTTGTGTTGTCTGTGCGTCACCTCGGTGGTGCCGGTGCCATCGTCCACCATGCGCTGCTCGGCCGCGAGCTCGGGGCTGGCGTGAAGCATCTTGGCGTCGAACTTCACCTGCTCCACCTTGGCTGCACGCGCGCACACACACACACACAAAGATCCCCCATATAGCCTCAACAGACTGTAAGTGCTGTTAGTGAGTACCTATGAAGGCTGGAACGGTACATGAGGGGGTGGGTGGCCAGCACCACGCCCGACCGCCTTTGTCTCCCTAGTGGCGCTGTTTACACATCGCACCAGGTACTCATTTGAGACTGAGTCGACCTAGGGGAGGTCCAGGACCGGTTCAGATAATCGTCCCCGGTGTTGGCCGTGAGCGGGAATCGAACCCGGGTCGCCAGGTTTGTAGCACAGCGCGCTAACCGCTACACTACCACATACACACACAAGCACACGTATGAAACATGCACACGCACACGAAGATGCCCCCGAATGGCCTTCGATGGACTGCAGGGGCAAGTGCTGTCAGCGAGCAGCACATACGAAGGCTCGGCACAGGACACAAAGGGAGGTGGGTTGATCAGCATCACGCCCGGCCGTCTTTGTCTCCCCAGCAGGGATGTTTGCCCATCGCGCTCATTTGAGGCTGAGTCGAGCTAGGGGAAATCAAACTCGGGTCTCCAGGTTCGTAGCGCAGCGCGCAAACCGCTACGCGGCCGCTCACACGTGCAGGCACAGACAATATGAGACAATGCACCAACTACTTAGCATGCGATGATTTTGTTGCTGTTGTTGTTCATGTTGACAGAGGTGATGGCGACTGTGGTCGTGGTAGTACCGTTGGCCAACGTTGTCGAGCGGTCGGTACCGTTGGACCAACGTTGGTCCAAGGTGCCACGTTTGCTGGGGTGCTGTTGATGGTGTTGACAGTGGCGGTGGTGGCGGATGTAACGGCATCACTGGTTGTTGTTGTTATTACAAACCGATTTTCCCCACTGTGTGGGTCTTGCCCAGGCCCTGCGTCTCCCCCTTCTCCGTCCACTTCTGGAAGAGCTGCTTGAACATGGGAGACTCTCCCCCATCGGCGAGCGCCTCCACGCTGGTGCTCGAGGGGTAGCCCTTGGCCTTGATGAACTCCTGCAGCGAGAGAACGCCGAGGCCAATCAGACACCACCAAATGTGATCGTGGCATCTCCTGCCTGATCGCATTGCAGCGGACGTTCGCCTCACCAGCACACGGATACAGCAAAGGGTTCCAATCCCTTTATTACACACACATCTCCTTGCTTCATCCACAGATCTCTCCTCCCTCATCCAAAGCTCCCTCCTTCATACACAGCTCCCTCCTTCATCCACAACTCCCTCCTTCATCCACAGCTCTCTCCTTCATCCACAGCTCTCTCCTCCTTTATCCACAGCTCTCTCCCCGTATCTCCTCCGACGTCTCCTCTAATCCACACGGCCCCCTCTCCCGTTCACTCCCCCCTCCGCTCATCCACCAATCCCTTCTCTTCATACTCCGGGGTTACTGCCGGTCGACTCGGTGCAGAGATGGACATCAGCGTGTAATGAAGGGGGTAGGGAATGCCGACGCTGTGGGGACCGTTACGGAGGACTCTCACAATAAGATTACACCCCCCCCCCCGCCCCCCCGCAATTGCTCGCTCACGCCACTACTGGCGGGCGCGCCTCCACTACGGCGAGCTCTTAGAGCTGCGTTGGCACAGGCGGGCCGTGCACACCACTTTATACCCCACTGCACGTGCCCTTGCCGTGGGCGCGCCTGCTTGTACTCCTCCTGGGTGGAGGGGCTGCGGTGAGGTTCACGGAAACTCGCACCGACGTTTCGACCACCGCGCCGGGAGAAGGGTTTCAATCTGCCGCTGGGACTTCCTCCTCAACTTCTACCCAGCCCCCCGCCGGTTAATTGTGGCCTCAGGGCAGATACGTGACGGTCGGACATGCGACGTTTGTAGTGCCCGATGAGTATCCGTCTAATGCGAAGGTAGACGTCGCGGCGATAAACACCCCGCTGCTCCTGACGCGGTTGTCTGGCGCGACCGCCTGAATGTGTACTTGTGACTAGTTGCTCTGTATCTACATCAGCAGCCGTACGACAAGCAGAAGAGGAGGATGGGGGGAGGTAGAGGGAGGAGGAGGGAGGAGGAGGAGGAGGGAGGAGGAGGGAGGAGGGAGGAGGAGGAGGGGAGGAGGAGGAGGAGGGAGGAGAGAGGAGGAGGGAGGAGGAGGGAGGAGGAGGAGGGAGGAGGAGGGAGGAGGAGGAGGGAGGAGGAGGGAGGAGGAGGGAGGAGGAGGAGAGAGGAGGAGGGAGGGAGGAGGAGGAGGGAGGAGGAGGGAGGAGGAGGAGGGAGGAGGAGGGAGGAGGAGGGAGGAGGAGGGAGGAGGAGGAGAGAGGAGGAGGGAGGAGGAGGGAGGAGGAGGAGAGAGGAGGAGGGAGGAGGAGGGAGGAGGAGGAGGGAGGAGGAGGGAGGAGGGAGGGAGGAGGAGGAGAGAGGAGGAGGGAGGAGGAGGGAGGAGGAGGAGAGAGGAGGAGGGAGGAGGAGGGAGGAGGAGGAGGGAGGAGGAGGAGGGAGGAGGGAGGAGGAGGGAGGAGGAGGGGGGAGGAGGAGGAGGAGGAGGAGGGAGGAGGAGGAGGAGGGAGGAGGAGGGAGGAGGAGGAGGAGGGAGGAGGAGGGGAGGAGGAGGAGGAGGAGGGAGGAGGAGGGAGGGAGGAGGAGGGAGGAGGAGGGAGGAAGGAGGGAGGAGAGGGAGGAGGAGGGGGGGGAGGAGGAGGAGGAGGGAGGAGGAGGGAGGAGGAGGGAGGAGGAGGAGGGAGGAGGAGGGAGGAGGAGGAGGCTTCACTCACCAGGGCCCGGCTCATGGCCCCCTGGCGCTCCTGCTTGGTGGCGTTTTTCCCCTTCCACACGTAGATCTTCACCCCTCCCTGGTCCAGGATGTAGCTGTCCTAAAACAACAATAACAACAACAACATTAACAACAACGCCAATTCTAGCGAAATCGCCTGATGAAGCTGGATGTGACCAGCGAAACGTCACAGGACTCGAGTTGTAAATGTTGTCGATTTACTCTCCAACACATTGGCGGGCTGAAGTAGTAGCTCATTGCCAACGTTTTGTTTCCGTTGACAAGCATTACTGATTGGCTGTGTGGTGGTGGGTTAACAACACGAATATTCAAGTGATCTAACCCTACAAATAAATTCTAGATTTGAAGCTTTCGTGACTGCAAGGATTCATATTCTTAAGTCACGTAGGTAAAAATGTTTTTTAATTAATAAAAGTTAAATAAAAATAAATAAAAATCACGACGTTTCGGAGGCAACAAATACACCTTTATTATAATAGATTCATTGAAACGACGAACGGTGGTAAATCCACAGCCCCGTGGCTCTTTGCTCACTCCGCTGCCAGAGGGGCCTCTGCTCGAGGCAGCTCCGGAGAGGCGCCTCTCGAGTGGTGTTTGGCCTACTCTTCCGCGCGGGCCAGGCGCTGTCGAAGAGGTAGGAGTGCCAACACTTTACCCCACCGCACACGCGGCCTGCCGATGGAATAATTGGTGGCGACAGACCCATTCATGGGCCCTGCCGTGGTGGCGAGATGCTACCTCCGTCGCCTGGTATACAGGAGGCCGTGGGTTCGAACCCGACCCTGACGCCTGCTGCTGTATATTTGGAGTTTGCGTGTCTATATCCCTGTGGATTTTGCTCCGGGTCCACCAGTTTCTCCCTCGACATTTTGAAACGTGCGCTTAGAATGTTTGGCTGCTATACATTTCCAACATGATAAAAGCCACTTCGTTGAGAGATCACCTGTGGCCAGCTTGCCTCTGAAAAAAAGCTAATAGTTCAGTGGGCTTTATCTAGTAAAATAAAAACAAATAGCATAGTTTTAAATAGTTTAGTTTATACAGTACTGCCGGGCATGCAGTGTGTGTTCTCAATTCCCTCTCACGGCCAACACTAGTGACGATTATCTGGGCCGCTCCTGGGCCTCCCTTAGGTCGGGCCAGCCTCAAATGAGTATCTGGTGCGGTGTGTAAACATCACCACTGGGGAGACAAAGGCAGCCGGGCGTGGTTACTAGCCACGTCACCAGCTCGCGTGCCGTGCCGGCTTTCAGCGGTGCTCTCCAACAGCACTTGCCCCAACAGTCCGCGAAGGCTACACGGGGTATCTTTATCCGTGTCTCTGTATGCTTAAAGGCTTTTACTCCTACCGGCCCTGTCAGTTTTAAAAGCTGAGTTCGGGGGCGTCATATTTCCAGGACCAGTAACACAATCGGAGGAAAACAAACAACATTCAATTCCCTGCGAGTTAATTACCCATAAAACGAACACTATGATTGTCAAACAAAGGCGGGCTGGTGGGGCGGGGAAGTGGGAGAAGGCAATCATCTCTTAATGAAATATCCAGTTTCATTTCCGCGATCCACGGTGCCACCGACGCTCTATTTGGAGATATATCTCGCGGTCTGTCACGATGGGTCGGGGCTTTGTGAACTAAGCGGAGATTACGTCTGGGGGCAGCGGTGGGGGGGGGGAGGTCTCTCTGTTCTAGATTTGAAGCTTTCCTGACTGCAAGGATTCATATTCTTAGGTTTTTTCGGTAAAGTCACGTAGGTAAAAATAATAAAAAATAATAAATAATTTATAAAAGTAAAATAAAAATAAAATAAAAGTCGTGCTGTGACGGTTCCACCTGAAGACGGAAGCTTGTGTTGCCTCCGAAACGTCGTGATTTTTATTTTATTTTACTTTTATTAATTTAAATTTTTTGACCTACGTGACTTTACCGAAAAAACCTAAGAATATGAGTCTCTCTGTGTCTGGCAAGAAGGTCGGGGCGCAGCGGGGAGCCGCTGCAGTGACGGCCACGCGGTGGATGTCGTGGGTCTCGAGGTGCGAATTCTGAGCCGTGCTACGAACCCGGCAGAGAGCCGAGTTCGATTCCCGCTCACGGCTCCCAGCACCAGTGACGATTAATCTCAACCGGTCCCGGGTCCGTTCCACTAGTTCGACTCAGCCTCAAAGTGAGTACCCGGTGCGGTGTGTAGTTAACATCGCCACTGGGGATACAAAGGCGGACGGGCGGGCGTGGTGTTGGCCCACCCCACCCCTTCGTGTGCCGTGCCTGGCCTGCATAGGTAACTGACGATAAACTATTGTTCTTTTCCCAGGTAATGCCCAATGAGGTATGCAACTCTTTTTCGGAAGGGACCTGGCAACAAATGATAGCTCGACGGAGTGGCTTATCACGTGACCATGTAGAGCAGCCACATACTCTAATCGCGTGTTTCTAAATGTGGGGGGGGGGGGAATCGGAGAGAGGCACGCAAACTCCAAATACACAAATTCTAGATTTGAAGCTTTCGTGACTGCAAGGATTCATATTCTTAGGTTTTTTCAGTAAAGTCACCGTGTAGGTAAAACATCAAAATTAATAAAAATAAAATAAAGATCACGACGTTTCGGAGGCAACACAAGTCTCCGTCATCAGGTGGGACCATCACAGCCAGATTAGCTGCATCAAGTGAGGCAATGATTCAAGATGTAATCCCTTAAAAGCGAGTTGAGGGGGGAGGAGAGGGGGGGGGGGAGACCATCAGAATGTGGTAGCCAATGAATGGAACGTATCGGGAGGGAGGGGGGCGGGGCCACAGCAGGCGTCAGAGTCGGGATTGAACTTACGACCTCCTGTACACCAGGCGAGGTAGTTAACATCTCACCACGGTGGCGCCCCAGTGCTCGCTAACAGCACTTGCCCCAACAGTCTGTAAAGGCTATACGGGGAAGAATCTTTGTCTTTGTTGCAAGGAATGAAATGGGGACGTGGTTGCCATGCCATTTTCCAGCCCCCCCCCCCCCCCTCTCTTCCCTCGTAGTCCAGTACTTAGGGCCTCTCAGACCACGAGAACTGCTTTCATTAGAACTGTGATTTGTGTTTACGGACAGTCTTCGACTTACAAACATAATTCGTTCCTGGGGGGCGTTCGTAAGTCGGGGAGTTCGTAAGTCGGAAACGCAAATGATATACTGTATTCAAATGCCCACACACCCAAACGCTCACTCCCAGCACAAGGCTGACCTCATCGACATCCCGCGGAGGATCGCTCAGCCGAACAAAACAGTGCCGCGGTTCGATTTGCGAGCGAGAGTTTCGCCTTTTAAGTCGATGCTGAAATTTTTTTTTTTTTAAACAGAAGCTGCTTCGTAAGTGCGGGTGTTCATAGGCCGGGGGTGTTTGTGAGTTGATCACTGCCTGTAGTTCGTTGCCTTTCCCCCGCACCGCGCTGCATCGTGTGCAACATTCTCCGGCACGTGTCGTGACTGGGTTCTACAAGGGTCCAACCATAACGCGTTCCGCGTTCTGACGGCGCGCGGTCCGAGTTGTGAGAACACGTGCCTCCCCAATGGCAGAACCGCGTCGTAGCGGATACGCGTTGTAGTCTCGAGACCGCGCGTTAAGCGAGGGCTTGCCATGTTTGGTTTAAAAGCACTGTGACTGTGTGTGTTCAACAAAATACGCCTCGGTAAAACTAGGTACTTTTTAAGCTCCAAAAACACATTCCTGCGGAGGGAGCTGGGAGGAACGTTGGGTTGCTCGGTCAATGGCCAGGGTCAACGGCGGCGTGGTGTATTCCGCAAATATGCCCGACTGTGAGGGTGGGCACAAGCCGGCGTGAGTAGGTTAAACGTTGCGTTTTATAAGGGCACCACGGGCTGACCAGCCCCTCCCCACCCAGCCCCACCCAGCCCCTCCCCACCCAGCCCCACCCTCCCCACCCAGCCCCTCCCTCCCCACCCAGCCCCTCCCTACGATGGACGGACACAATAATCCCCTGTGGGCTGGTGTAACCAGGAGGCTCCTACCAGTACAAAGGTTTGACTGGGTTAGATCGCGTAAATATAAATGTGTCGTTAAACCCGCCACCGCCCGACATTGCCAATTCAGTGAGGTCTGAATAATTTCCGCCCTCCCCGGATGCGTTTCAGCAGCTAGCTGCCACGTCACGCCTGCCAAATATTGCCTCGTAAACAAAAACAAATCAACAAATTAATTTGGGACAGGGGAGGCTTTGTTTAAAAAAAAAACAATAACGGCCACTGTTACGGTGTGCACAGTGTCCATTACACGTCGTCAGTAAAAGCCACGATGTTTGCCTTAGCCTCCTATTAACGTCCCCAGTCATTGTGCGCCTCGCCCGCTCCTTACCCTGTGGCTTAGCAAATAGTGCACCACGTAATCCAAGTTGTACGGTGAACGAAATGCTTAAGGTGTCACGATCGCCCGTTTGCGCCGTGTGAACTTCCCTGTTAGTTTGTAAAGCGAACTGTTCAGTGTTTTTTGCGCGGAGCGGTGGCACAGCGGTTGATGCACCGCGCTTTCAAAACATCAGCAAGCCCCCGCCGACGATGCGAGTTCGATTCGGAAAAGCATCAGTGGCGGGTGATATGTGCACCGGTCAAGGTTTCCCCCCCCCCTTTCACCAACTCACACTGACCCATCATGGTGAAGTATGGTCAAACAATCTCCCCCCCCCCCCCCCCACCTTCATGACCGACACGGCACGGGGAGGCCCACAGACCAGTGTGTGAGTTTGACCAATCTCCCGTGGTCCACCAACCCTGACACCCACAGTGCTGCTAGGTGCAGGCATGGCCCAACGCCAACGATTGGTGCTCACTCACTCGCACAGCAAACCCAGCTATCTCTGGAGTCTATTTTGGGCCACCATGCAGGCAAGGAAGGGGCTGCTCTCTACGGCAGTGTCTAGATGTGTGTGGGGTCTGCGCTCTGGGATCTCAGGTCGGAGCTTGAGAGCACATTCATGTGAAATGAGCCGCGGACATTCTGAAGGATCGGTGACGCGGTGAAACCAGAGCTACGCGTGACACTTCCTATGAGGTGTCCTCATATTTAAAGACACCACGTGGCCTGGTTTGCTCGGAAGAGTTTCAGAAAACCTGTCCCGGTGACCCGAAGATTTGGGAAAAATTCGTGAAACATCTTTGTTTGGTCTAATGATCAGGATTAGGCGGGGCCTGTAAAGAGTAGGCGGAGCCGTTGATTGTGTTGGAGTGTAGTTATGTGAAAGTGGGTGTCGCTATTGGCAAAGTGGGTGTGGTTACATCAAAGTGGGTGTCAGTAGTGGCTAAGTGGGTGTGGTTACGTCAAAGTGGGTGTTGCTAGTGGCTAAGTGGGTGTGTCTATGTGAAAGTGGGTGTCGCTAGTGGCTAAGTGGGTGTGGTTACGTCAAAGTGGGTGTCGCTAGTGGCAAAGTGAGTGTGGTTACATCAAATTGGGTGTGACTAATGGCTAAGTGGGTGTGTCTATGTGAAAGTGGGTGTGACTAGTGGCTAAGTGGGTGTGGTTACGTGAAAGTGGGTGTCGCTAGTGGCTAAGTGGGTGTGGTTACGTCAAAGTGGGTGTCGCTAGTGGCTAAGTGGGTGTGGTTACGTCAAAGTGGGTGTCGCTAGTGGCTAAGCGGGTGTGTCTATGTGAAAGTGGATGGGGCTACCGGCTGAGTGGGTGTGGTTTGGCAAAAGTGGGCTGGCCTGCTTGAGGTCGGGAGAGAAGGGGCAGCCAGCTCACTGGGTATCCCCGGTTGAGCCTCCAATAAATGAGGTAACCTCACAGTCAACATTTCAAAATCACGATAATGTGTCTGTACGTATGTTTAACTTCTCTTGCACCGCACATAGATTAGTTTGTCAATCTAGATTTAAAAGTGCATAGCTCCAAAAAAGGGGAAAAAAACGATTATCATATTTTGGTATTGGCAAAGGAGGTCCCATGATGCATAGCTCCAGTTACTTCCTAATATCGGAAGGAAGAGCGTTCCAGACGGCCGCAGAAGTGCACAATGCGGTGACCACCGTCTTTATTCGATGGGTAGCCAAAATCCGCTGCTGCAAGGATAACCAGGAGTTCGCGTGATGATGGTTTATGCTCCTTGACGTATGGAACGTCATTGTAAATGTAAGTATTTGCAGCGTTTTGGAGAACGTGGCTCATTTGTGCAACAACTGAGTGCTTTGATGCGAACACAAAAACTGAATGCACCGTGACCAGCTCAATGTCGAAGACAATTCCAGTTTTGTCATTGACGTGCATACCGTGAATGGAATCACCGATTTAAAAAAAATCTTTTAGTTCGTGCATCGAAGAATTGGGGGATGGGGCATGAGGGGTCATGGGGTGGGTGCGTGGGGGGGGGGCATGCCGCTTTTGTGTTTCGCCCATAATCCCCGTCGCCGCCTTACGTCGTGCTTGAGCAGGTCTTGGGTGAGTGGCCGTGTAGCCACCTCCTGCACCACCAGCTTCCCCTCTGCATCTGACAGGCTGTGACAGACACACACACACACACAGAAGGAGTGCGTTCATAATGGTACGGCATTCCCTCGTTATTCGCGAGGGATACGTTCCGGAGACATTCGTGAATAGCACATTGAATTAATGACCTTAATTAAATGTGTCAATAAGCTCTTAAATATATGAAAGTTGTCACGGAAACACGTAGCTCTATCACTTATCTCATCACTTTCTCTCTCTCTCTCTCGATGCAATCGGGCAGAGTTCCAGATGCAGTTTGCGGATAGCCCACAAATTACAGATCGCCAGTTCGTGAATAACGAGGCAATACTGTACTCTACTTTGATTGACGGGAAGGGGGCGGCCCCCCTGCCCACCCGCCCCTCCCGCCCACCCCGCCCCACCGCTCACTGGTAGAGCTTGATGTTGGACATCTGTGCGGCGTCGGGCCGGTCGTCGGGCACGGGGTCCTTGAGCGCCTTCTTGCGTTCGCCCAGCACGGCCACCATGACGCGCAGCAGCTCGCTCGAGGCCTTCTCGTCCTCGCCATCGATGATGCCGATCTGGGCGCGCCCGCCGCGCTCGCGGTCGCGGATGTCCATGGACATCTGCAGGCCCTGCGCTCGCGGCCAGTCGGTCGGTCGGTCGGGAGCGGGTTGAGATGCACAAACATCGGAATCGTGAGGATTGTGTGTTTATGTCGGGTGAATCCGATGAGCTATGAAGCTCTTTTTCTCACAGATGTCCAGCAGGGGCACGGGGTCGGAACGTTACAAGAACGAACAATGACGACGACAAACATCGCCGTGGTCAGCATCATCGTCGTCGTTATCATGCACACGAGAGGATCTTATCGCTCCATCTCCATGGATGACGTACTCTCGGACACGTTCCCTCCTTTGGCTTCCACTAATTTTTTTAATCGCGACCACCGGCCATCATCATCATCATCCCTTCGAGCGGCTTGTTCTTCCCAAGCTCACTTATGTGATTTTTTTTCACATTTGTTATGATTTACATATGTTGAACTTCTTTTGTACTGTACGTAGCAGACCGTGCCATCTGGAGGTGCGGGGGAAGGACAACAAACTAAATACAAAAAGCTCTTCTAAAGAAATGGGTTTCAAATCCACGTGATATTAAAGATCATTGTCGTCATTTATCATCCATAGCGGACGACGCTCGCTGTTGCGTTGCCTGCCCTGGTGCGTTTGGGGTACGTCCATCGGTGGATTGCTCTGTACGTTGAAATAAAAGGTTACTGGCACCTTCATGCGCTCGTTCTTGTTGCTGTCAGGGCCGTTCCACTGCACGATGACCTTGCCCAGGTCCAGCAGAAACACGTCGCCCTTGTTCATGCTGTCCCAGGTCAAGGCCACCTTCGCGTGACACAGGGGCACATCACAAGAGGTGAATCGCAGGGGACACATCGCAAGGGAACATCACAGAGGCACATCACAAGAGACGCATCGATATTTTTTCCAAAACAATTATTCTGAAAGAAAAACGCACCTTCGTGATGTCAACGTGGTAACCTTATTACGGTAAATACGAAACCAAAATCGTTTTGTACTTACCAACTCCCTCCACTGCTTTAGACCAGAAATGTAACTCCAATTGCTGCAGCTCAAATTACCTGGCCTTGTTTCTAAACCTCTGGGCACAGGTGTGAGTGACACTGGACACGCCTGTCAAAACACCTCTATGGGTGTGCCCCTACTTGAAGGCTTCTCAACCTCCACCAACAGAGACCTCACCAGCGACCCAACCGAACCCCTTCCTGGCTTTTTCTGGTTTCCCCGTGCACTGCGGACCGTGGTGAATGATGGCGATCGGGCATCATCGTGCTGCCGATGGGCTCGCTCAACTCCCACACAAGTTGGCTTTCAACGGCGGCTTTGCCTGCCACTGCAGAGTGGAACAATCGACGGAGCACGTGATCCATGGAGCACGTGGTCAATGGAGCCATGCTCGATGGAGCACGTGGTCTGTGCAGCACGTGATCGATGGAGCACGTGGTCAATGGAGCACGTGGTCAATGAAGCCATGCTCCATGGAGCACGTGGTCTGTGCAGCACGTGATCGATGGAGCACGTGGTCCATGGAGCACGTGGTCGTTAGAGCACATGCCCCGTGAACAATGGCTGCCACATCAAGGCCGTCGGACACAGCGCCATTGAACGATTACAAGGCCGAGACGTCGACTTATAGCATCGGCCGCTGCTCCACAACGTCAGTCGCTTATCTCTGCGACGCGCCCTACGAGGGATGGGGCGGCCTCCAGTGTCCGCCGTGGTTCGTTAACGCGCAGCACGTCGTGTTCAGTTTGCCAATCGACAGGGGCCTGGGACGTGCAACGGCCTCGTGTGCAATTTGTACATAAATGTGAAAAGAACGATGAATGAGGCACAGAGGGGGGCTCTCAACACTTTACAAGGGTAGCAGATGGTGGTGCGGAGTGGTGGTGGTGGGGGGTGGTGGTGGGGGGTGGTAGTGCTGGGGGTGGTGGGGGTGGGTGGTGGTGGTGGAGGGTAGTGGGTGGTGGTGGTTGGTGCGTGGTGAGCACAGTCGCTATAGAAGCTCTGTTGTGTTTACTTAAGTCTCTCTTACCAAACCTGTTTTATTGAAATGTTAAAACAAACCTGGGCAATGTTACCTATGCCACCTGGTGCTCCAGTATCATCACCGTGCGACGTCAGCTTTTGAACCCCAAAAACAAATGTGTTGGTTTTTTTATCATCATTATCATCACCGCCACAGTGGGCAATCTGCTGCTGGATGTAGGCCTCCCCTAAACAACAATACCTGCGATGGAATAATCCACAAGCCATCTGTCTACGAGCTCAGTCGTTGTTGTTGTTGTTGTCTCTGTTAGCCAAGATAACAAACAAACCCATTGAGGCACGTGAAACAACATTAACTATTCTGCAAGGCCTCCATTGCTCCATCTCCTCCGTGGATGCATTGTACTCTCTAATAACACTCTTTTTTGTAATTTGAGGATTTCATTTTTGTGTAATTTAAAAGATTCCCCCTCCCCTAATATTTGGCTCTCGCTATGGCCATCACGTCATGAGAGGTGGTAAGCATTTGGACGTCTCATAGAGCAGTGGCGATCCTTCGTGTCGTGTCGGAGAGCGGACCGTGGAAACGGATACCACAGAGCTAACCTCTGAGAACCCTTCAAGTGGCGGGTTTTCGTTGTTGTCCCTTTTTTCCCAAACTTGCATTTCTAGACAAGCTTATCGGTGTCGCATCATTCCAATGGAAGGTCTCACAGAAGAAGGCAGTGTTCACTGCACGAGAGTGAGCCAATACTCTCCGGCGCATTGCAAATTTACAGTATTATTATTATCATAATCCTTCACTGCTATTTGAATAAATGTCAATTCAGGGAGATTTTCTTATTAAGTTGTGTGATGCAACTGAACAATGGTGCCAAGATGTTAACTACCTTGCCTGTAATATAGGAGGTCGTGATCCCGACCCTGACAATGCCTGCTGTATATTTGGAGTTTGCATGCCTCTCTCACTCTCGGTCTCGTAGATTTTTCTCCAGGTCCTCCGGTTTTTCCCCTCCACATTTAGAATGAACGTCACACGTTGATAGCATATTTGACTGCGATAAGTTCCCACGCGATAAGCCACTTCGTTGAGCTATCACTTGTGATGGCCAGGCCGCTTCTGAAAAATTACCACGTAGCTCAGTGGGACCTTACCTGGTAAAAAATAGATTAGAAACAAACTGACGGCTGGCCGGAACCCAGATCCTAACCCGAGATCTTGGAAGTGCCCACGCTCAGCGACTCTCTGGCACGGCCTGGGCCCCATAATCCCCCTTCTCCTCGTGGGACCCACCTCCGTCGCCATGACGCTCTTGCGGCCCTTGATCTGCAGCAGGCGACGCGTGTTGTACGAGTTCGAGTCCACGTGGTTGAACCCGGAGGCCACTCCGCCCTTCATGTACCTGCAACACAAGGGGGGAGGTGAACGGCGGCTCGTGCGAGTGCACGCGCGTCGGAGGTTACTCGCCAACGACACTTGCCCCTGACGGTCTGTGTGGCCACGTGGGGGGAATATTTGCGTGCGTGTGGCTGTGGTGATGGGCAGTGGAAAGTTGGCACAGTAGGAGGCACAGGTGGTGCATTGGCCAGTCATCTCAGCCAGTGAACCCATGGTACCTGGGTCTGTCGCATGACCTCCTGCTAGCGGCCGTTCGCCACTTCACGTGGCCTTAAAGTGCCCAAAGCCTGGCACAAGCGCAGTGGTGACTGTCACCGCCACTTTGTGGCAAATAGCGGTTGTTGTTGTTTAGTGGGGAGCGGTAGTGTAGCGATTATCATGCTGCGTTACGAACCCTGCGACCCGAGTTCGATTTTCCTCTCAGCGACAAAAAACGGTGGCGAATATCTGGACCGTCCCTGAGCCTCCCCTAGGTCGACTCAGTCTCAAATGAATACATGGTGCGATGTCTGAACATCGCCACTGTGGAGACAGGGGTGGTCGGGCGTGGTGCTGGCCACCCACCCACCAACTCGTGTGCCGTTCCGACCTTCATACAAGTGTTGTCGAGTAAACAATTTTGTGAGTTGACTCCAACATCAGTGGGTGTGCTGAAATAGTAACGAATCAACACATTTTGTTCACGTCACAAACATTACCAATTGACTGTGTCGGGTGGCGGTGGCGGCGGTGGTGGTGATGGCGGCGGGTTTAGCGACACATTTATATTTACGCGCTCAAACCCAAACAATAAAAACCTTGATCAAACCGGCCACGTCGGGTGGAGGAGGGGCTTTACGACACAACCTATTTTTTCTCGTTTTTTTACCACCCAAAAAAAATCAATCAAATCAATCGCGAAATGGCAAACGCTCCGCGACATATTCTTAGGTTTTTTCGGTAAAGTCACGTAGGTTAAAAAAAAAAATCGCTCAGCCGTACACGAGGCCCGACTTGAAGTGCCCCTTGAAGGTGTCGGACTCGTGGCCCTGCGGCTCGCGGTGCTGCTTGGGTGCCCCGCCGAGCCACTCGTCCAGCTGCGTGGTGTAGAGCGCCGCCGCCCCCTGCTCATCCACCGACGACTGCGAGCCCAGCCAGAAGTGGATGTCGACCACCAGCTGGGAGGACACCTTGCGGATCTGTGGTGGGGGCCAGACAGGGGTGGCGGGGAGGGCGTGGTGTGAACGAGGTGGGGGCGGGGGGGGGCAGAGTGTCATCATAAACTTAGGAGATTGATCGCGATTAAAAATCTGGGCGTAGTAGCGTTGTGGGGATGGTTACCCCCCCCCTCCCCCAACACCGCCGTGTCCCCCTCCTCGTAGCCCGAGGCCTGGGCCCCTCCGGCTCGTGGACGCCGGTGCGGTTGCACCGCCCCCGCGCACTTCTCGATAGCTACACCACTGCTGCCTGCGATCCAAGTTTGATTCCGGAACACCACGGCTAACGTGAGTGGCGAGCGAGATCTGAGCCCGGTGTTGGGCTCCCCCCTCCCGCCCGGCCCTCCCAACTTCATCAACCCGCGCTGACCAGCGTGGTGAAGTACGGTCAAGCAAGTCGCACTACCCGACGCAGGGCGGGGAGGCCTCCATCCAGCAGTGGATAGGGCTGTAAATGATCATTTCACCGGTTGAGAGTGTTTACCCCATTGGTTCCGTGAGGGTTCGGATCGACCTGATTGGCGGGCCGGTTGCGGAGGAATCCCTCCGACGTATCGCTCGCGGGCCTACGTCATCGTTCGTGTTCTACAAATATTCAACAAAGCTCCGAGTCGCTCGAACTGCTGTGTACGCCCGCGCGGTTAAACCGCCGCATTTCGAAAAAACGGAAACGTCTCATGCGGGATCGTCGTCTTATGAAGGAACGTGTTGGAAATATTCGCGTTTTTTTTTAAAGTTGATATTCGCCACCCACCGAGATGACTATGTAGCAGTCTCCCTCGTAGAAGCTGCCGATGTTCTTCTCTGGCACGGCGACCATCTGCATGGCCTTTACAGGGAGACACGAACCACCACCAGCATCACACGTTCATCACATGTTCATCACATGTTCATCAAATGTTCATCACATGTTCATCACATGTTCATCACATGTTCATCACATGTTCATCACATGCTCCTCAGGTGTATGATCACGGGTCAAGATGATCATCATTATAACATGTTCTCCATCATAATCATCATCGGCAAACATTATCATCTTCATTATTACCAGCAACAGCAGCAACATCATCATAATTTAAAATCATCACCAACACTACCGTAACGTCCATCATTAATTTGGGCATATCGTCGCTAATGGGCTCACATGTAGGATGCATGACGATGAACGCGCTACTGGACATCTGTCAAAAAGAGCTTAATAGCTCATCGGATTCCTCCGGTATAAATATTGTGATGCTGCATACATCACCACCACCACCGTGACCTCCGGCCCTGCTTGACCCCCCTGGGTCTCACCTCGATGCGGAGGACCTGCAGGCCAGGGTTTTTGTGGATTTGCTTGAACATGTCGTCCTTGAGTTCCGGCATCTTTGCGTCTCTGTGTGCGGAGGAGAGAAAATAAAGAGGGAGACGACATTGGCAGAGATGATGGATTCAGAATCGTTCGTGGCAAGCCAGGTCAAAGTAATTTCCTGCTCAGAATTAGAATCGTTATTCCAGACTGGAGGAATCCGATGAGCTGTAAAGCTCTTTCACAGATGTCCAGTAGGGGCAGGTCAGAGCGTTCCAACAACAAACAATACAAAAACACGATAAGAGTGCAAATTATATAAAAATAAACACATCTCTGAAAATATACAAATAAAACTAACTGAGTAATTAGCTTATTTTTCATCAGCAACCTATCCACAAATGATAGCTCAACGAAGTGGCTTATCATGTGGAAATTTATAGCAGCAACATCATCTAAATAGTCTCAACGCATGTTGCTCAAATGAGCATTGCTTGGCAATGGTGCTCATCCTATTTTTACAGCCCTCAGCCAGTGGTGGAAAATTCGGAAATTCTACATTCTTATGCCAGAGGCGAGTTGATCCATAGGAAAACCCCTCTTCACTTCCCATAAAGTGCTACTCATTTTATCCACCCTGGAAGGATGATGGGCTGAGTCAACCGCCACTCAGCATTTGGCATTTGAATTCATAACCTTCCAATTGTGGGCCAATCGCTCTGCTGGTGTGCCACCTGGCAAACCAAGATTGCATTTCTAGAGATGAGATCAGAACCAGACATGGCAAATCGCTTACATCATATTGAATGATGATAAACGCGCAGTTTTGTTTCACTCGCAGAGGGAGAGAGAGTAATTCAAAGGCACAGAACACCACAAACAATCGAGAATGCAAGCCAGGACTGGGTGCCAACGATTGCCCAAGCTCTGGAGTCCTATATTTGGATATTTGAAGCAACTCCGAGTAATTACACTCGTGGGATAAAACCCGGAGCGACCGGAGTAAAGCACCACAAGTGCGAAGAGGGGTGACGCTAAATCCCCGTACAGATGGGTGCAGATGGAAATGGATCCCCTTTCTGTCCTGCCGTAACCTGGCAAGCCAGGAGCTTGCGACCTTGACGGCTTGCGCTGGGTGGGGAGAGGTGGAGTTTCACGAAATTGTGTGATCCGTCAACCCTCGCCTCCGCAGTGCTGCATTACAGGTGTGCATAGCCACCAGTGGCCAGCTACGTGGGTAATTATACAGCATTTAAAATACTTTGCTTTGTGCCACAGTTGCGCAAAGTATTTGTGTTTAAATAGGTGTGCCCTTTACACTTCGCCTGTACCGCTCACTGTGTACATACACCGCTCACCGTCGTGGTGTATGTGCAACAACGGCATTGCGTTGTGGTGTGTGGCCACAATGAATGATGGAAGTGACACAATAGGTCATGGGAAATGGCGTAATCTTGCAGGTCTTGTCATGGTCAGTGGCCTGATTTAGTCGGCTAAACCCGGAATCAGAATCTTTATTTATTCTGGAGAAATCTGATGAGCCATGAAGCTCTTTTTCACCGATGTCCAGTCGGGGTAGGTCAGGAAGTTACATAAACAAACAGTACATAAAAACAATACCCGATTCACTGTCCCCATCACTTTAGTTCCAATGATGCAAAACAACAATAAGCGTCGTTGTGGATATAAATAAGCAAACAATATGCCTCCTTCAAACACCTGCCCCTCCACAATAAAAATCAATGTTTGTTCCACTCATCCCATCAGCCACACGGGCTTCTGGGAGTGTGAGTAGCGTGAGCAACATTGGTGTGATGCAATCACACCAATTCGGTTTCGACATTCGGTGTTTCATCAGTCGAGTCAGGCTCTGTTTGAAGTTTAGGCCCAATGAAGCCACTTTTGACCAAAATTCGGTGATGAGCTTTAGAAGCAGAAGCGTACGGACAGACACACATCGGCAGAAACAGTGGTGAAGGAACCACCGATTACAATTTTGCAACAAAACAAGAGTGATTATGATTTTAAGTAAGTCACATTTTCATTAATAACTTTCTCAAACACGCGAGTTGGTTAATGATAAGTTATAAAACGTTGTAAATCCACTGTTGGATTCAGGCTTCTCCAAATCCTGTCGGCCGACCATACTTCACCACGCTGGTCAACAGCAGCGGGTGAAGTTGGGGAAACCCAGGACCAGTTCGATATGACTTGCCACCGATGTTAGGGAATTGAACTGAGGTCGCTGGATTTGTATTGATCACATGTCAACTGACATTTTTAATTCAGGAAATTGTGTGAAAACCCGTAGTTAATGGTATTGGGAGGAGTGTTAGTTTTTTTGAAGTCGTTGGTGACCAAGGCCGAGTCCATCTCTTCACTGCGCGTAACTCGGTTTCGTACTTACACTGAACTTATTTCGCACTAGCCAACCGTGCTGATCGAAGGTGCGCGCGGCAGGGGGGCAGGGTACAACAAACTACACACAACAGCCAGCAGTTCTAAAAAAAAATCGTTTTTAAGTCATCACGGGCCAGTGGCTGAGACCCAGATTCAAACCCAGGTGCTGCCAGCTCAGAGCTCTGACCTCAGGGGCCACGTGACCATCTCCCAGCCAGACGTTTAAATCAGCCCTCTGGGTAAACGTTAGCACAGGTTGCACGTGGGAAGTGAGATGACGACAATTGATCTTGCTCTCTGTGCATGCAAGCCCAAGAGGGGGACTGCCCATAGAACTATCAATCAGTTGAAGATTTTAAAAAAAATTGTTTGTTTTTAAATCAACAGGACGTTATGTTTAAGAAAGGTGTAATTCACAATACATACAGCAACTACAGCCCACGCCGAGTATTTTACTCCTTCTCTACGATGGACGATCTTTCTGATTGGCTGCTGCGTTGTCGAGATGATAACTACCTCGCCTGGTATGCAGGACCATTGGAACCTCATTTTCCAGTAAAAAATATGATGATTTTTTTGTTACCATTATCAGAGTTATGTTTTTTGTTTGCATTATGCCTGCAGGTATTGTGGTCTATGCAAACATGACTCCTTGCAAAAAATGTGTCAGTTTTGTTGCCAGATAGAAGGGTAAAAAAACAATTATCATATTTTTTACTGGCAAATGAGGTTCCAATGGTGTAAATGCTTACCCCGAGCTCTCATACTCTGATATTGCATTGTCTTTGAGTTGTGTGCCTTTTGGCGTCATCTGGTCCAACCCATGTGAGACTAGGCCCTAAGGAAAGCTGTATCGGGTGTCGACCAATCAAACTTCAAGGACAGTGCACATTATCAGAGTTGTGTTTTTTGTTTGCATTATGACTGCAGGTATTGTGGTCTATGCAAACATGACTCCTTGTAAAAAAGGTGTCAGTTTTGTTGCCAGATTGAAGGGTTAAAAACCAATTATGGTATGCAGGAGTTCGTGTATTCGATCCTGACAGCCGGTATATTTGGAGTTCGCATGTTCTCGCTGTGGTCGCGTTAATTTTTTAATCCGAATCCTCCGGTTTTTTTCCTCCCTCCACGATTAGAAACGTGCGTTTAGAGTAATTTGGCTGCTATAAATTTCCACGTGATAAGCCACTTCGTTGAGCTATCATTTGTGGTCAAGTCGCTTCTAAAAAAGAGCTGCATAGCTCAGTGGGGCTTTTACCTGGTAAAATAAAACATATCTCAAATTGTAAATGTTGTTGCTTCAACACACCGGTGGGCTAAAGCAGTGAACTATTTGTCTTTGTCAACGTGACACATTTTTACTGATTGGCCGTGTCGGGTGGTGGAGGGTTACGACACATTTATAAATAAACGCGATCTAAACCCAAAAATCGTTGATTATGAATAACATTGGTCGCGAAAGCCTACGTGTTAAACAAAACATATCTAGTTTACAGTTTGTATAATGTATGGCTGCCACTCCGTGCTAGTCCTGAACACTGGCCCCCATCCATTCTCGCCATGGCGCGTCCTGCCCAAGCCCACTGACTCGCTTTTCTTATCAGACAATGTGACGTCTCTAACTTGCGCGTCTTCTCTGACTCCACGTGTTCCTCTTTGCGTCTGTCAGTGTGATCACGTTGCATGGCAGGTCCGTGAGAGACGATGGTGGTTTGGGGGAGGCCTTCATCCAGCAGTTGATTGATGATGATGATGATGATGAAAAGAGTTGCAGACAACTCAATGCCAGATTATGCAGTGTCAGATGAAAATGTTGGTAGGTGGACTCATTGAGATGTAGCAATGTGCTGGCATTCGCTTCTCACATCAAAAGCCATGGACTCACACAGAGACTCATCTGACTCACACAGGAATCCACAGACTCGCGCACAGATCCAAAGTATAATTGACGTATACAGACTCAAAGCATCACACAGATATAAGTAGACTCTAACAGAGACCCATAGACTAACACACAGACCCGTTGGTTCACACAGAAACCCATAAACTCACCCAGAGGCTCATAGACTCACACAGAGACCCATAGACTCACAGAGAGACCCATAGACTCACCCATAGGCCCACCTAGAGACCCATAGATTCACCCAGAGGTTCATAGACTCACACAGAGGCTCATAGACTCACGCAGAGACCCATACACTCACACAGAGACCCATAGACTCACACAGAGACCCATAGACTCACACAGAGACCCATAGACTCACACATAGACCCTCACACAGAGACCCATAGACTCACACAGAGACCCATAGACTCACACAGAGACCCATAGACTCACACATAGACCCATAGATTCACACAGAGACCCATAGACTCACACAGAGAAGCCAGTAACCAATGAATCCACCTGCACACGTTATCACCTGACATTGGAAAACCCGACGTGGACTTTGTCACCTCTCATCAAACTTGGAACCATGAACCTCCACAAACGGAAAATAACTCTATTGGAGGGATATTTTACCAATCACTCTGTCTCTACTAAAGATATCGCAAACATTTATTGGCGTGAAGGGTCCTTTGTGATAAAATGCCAAAGAGTGCATGCGGTGTGGGTCACGGGGGTCATTTCACCCTACTTACTTCACCACGCCGGGTCAATGCGGGTTTGGTGAAGGATGGGGGAGCATAGAAGTAGAGTACAACAACAGATGTCGCCGTCCCGTCGCGCCCAGTGGTCACCCGTGCAAGCACCGTCCGGGCTAGACCTTGCTGGGCTTGAGATCCGACTCGATGCAGCTGACACGCTGCTAACTAATCACTGTGGTGAGTGTGTGTGCCGATAAGATTCTCAGCAGCGGGGTCGAGATAATGGAGGAGGGGAGCGGTGGCGCAGTGGTTAGCGTCTTGCCTGCTAACCTCGGCGACCCGACGAGTTTAATTCCTGCAACAACAACAAAAATATCCTGGGCACCCCTCCCCCCTTAGGTTGACTCAGCCTTAAATAAGTACCTGGTTTGCAATGGCGGAGCCAGGATTTTCAGGTAGGGGGGGGGGGTCAACCCTGATAGGAGTTGTTAGTAAGTAAGGACTTGTCCCTTGCTTTTTAATTGACGCGTGTGCGGCGATGGCGCAGCCATCGATGGAGGGTCGAATTTGAACCGCGTTGTGTGATCAGCATCGCGCTCGCTGAAGGTGTTTGCCTTCAGGGAAGTCGTGCACTGTATATACTACGCAACTGCGCACAATTCTGTGAGTCACTTATAACTGCTTTGCCGTTACTTATTGCCAATTATGGACTCAGATTATTGCCCTATCATCTCATAGAGTCCCTGGCACAGTGGCAGTGGGGGTCGCAAATGCCGATTTATTACTAATAAACCCCAATGATCCCATCGAAATTAGGGATTTCGATCGGATCATTGGGGGGGCACGTGCCACCCTCCCCCTCCCCCAGTGATGGTTTGGGTGTGTAAGCATCATCATGGGGGGGGGAGGCCGGGCGTGATGCTGGGCTACCCCATACACCCCTGTGCTTGCCTTCATAGGTGCTACTCGCTGACAAGCACACTTGCCCTGATAAACCTGTGTGTGAGGCTGTGGGGGGTGCAGTGGGGTGGGGGAGGGGAGGGATATTTGTCTTCAGTGGAGGTGCTATCGATTGTGGGCAGGTGCGCTGTGGATTTATACAACGAGAGTCTAAACAGGTAAGATGAGCTCACAATACTGCATTGCCCCGCAGTTGTGTGCGCGCACGCGATTTAATTGATTATTTATTTATTGGCCAAACGCAAGATTTGCATGCAAAGTGGTCCACCTTGTGGTGCTGCTGCTGCTGCTGGCGGAATAACACCAGGGTGTGAGTGGGGAGCAGCTGTGGTGTAGCGGGACAGGTGGCAACCCGGGTGGAAGTGCATCGTGTTAAAAGAGACGGCGCTGGCTCTGACGTGGCATCAGTCACAATCTACGGTGGCCATGTAGAGTCTTCATAGCACATGCAGTACAAAGAGAGGCGAGAGAGATGCAATGATTCATACGAGTCGGGGACTGTACTTGTTTACACCATGGGGCCAGATTGAAATGATAAAAAAATTATGTTGCGTATTATTTTATTATTTTTGAATGGTTAGAATTTGCTGCCTTGCCAAAGCATGGGTATTTAACTTGCAAACTGCATGTATTTATCTTAGTGATTCTCTTCCCTTTCCTATAATTTGCACTCCTGTGGTGTTTTTATATCCATTCGTTGGTGTAACTTTCTGACCCGCCCCTGTTGGACACCTGTGAAAAAGAGCTTCATAGCTCATCGGATTATCCAGGATGGAGACAGGTGCTGATTATGAAAGATGCGTTGCTGCTGCTGCTGCTGTGTGCTGAGACAATGGCAGTACGAGGCCGACAGTTTCCGGCTGTACTGTGACTCACAAAGCCTCTGGCTTCACGGGTGTGTGCGTGTGTATGTACGACCACGCCCAAAGGTTTGTGTGTGGCTTTTAAAGATAAGCTCCGTTTGGTTTGATGGGTTTACTATTCACTTACATTCATTAGTTGCTGCTGCTGCTGCGGGTAGTAGTGGCGCAGACGCATTTTTTTTTACTCAACACGGTTATAAATAACACTGGTCGTAAAAGGAAATATATACAATAAACCGACGTTTCGGGCAATTGTCCTTCATAGCACATGTGCTACGGCTTCAAATAAAATGTGCCGATATTTCAGGCTTTGTCCATTAGCTGAGATGTCAGACTATTATATATACATATCGTTTTTTTGTGTTATTAACGAACGTGTTAAATTGTGTTTCATTTACAATAGGGGTTTTCCCCGATACAATACCAAAGTTAGTTTTTTTTACTGTTCATGAATATAAAGGCGTGATCCAAACAACCTATTAGAAAGGTGGCAACGTAATAAATGCAGGTAAAAAAACACACTTTGAGTGGCATGTTTTAAAGTTACAGCATTTTATACTACAGTGGGCTCAATAGCAAGGCAATTCGATAAATGTCGTATGCGCTGTAGAGGCCACTGGATTGACCACACAACTACAACCCAATTGTGTTATTATTATGAAGATTTAGTGCAAGGAACACATGCGCGTACACAACATTACTTTCCATGTTTTGCAACAAAGAAGAACGCCGTTCTCGGGCAAAAGTTAGTTTTTTGCAGGATAATATAACATCGCAGAGAGACAAAGATCTCCCCCGTGTCACCTCAACACACTGTTGGATACTCATTTGAGTCTGAGTCGACCTAGGGGAGGCCCAGGACCGGTTCAGATAATCGTCACCGGTGTTTGCCGTGAGCGGGAATCGAACTCGGGTGGCCGGGTTTCGTAGCGCAGCGTAGCGTTAAACGCTGCACAGCACGCACACACACACGTACACTTGTGAAAGCTGAACATTATCCCAATCAAGATTTTAACGTCCAAAAACAAAACGAAAAATGTACTGCTTCAACGAATGCTGTTACGGGGCGTTCGTCTGGAAGGGTCCAATGGTTGATTGCCTCCAGCAAACGTTTGCAACGAGCGAAAATGTCGTCGTTGTAAATGATTTACATGACAGGCAAATGATGATGCCTAGAGAGGTGTCAATGGGTCAGCGAGACGGACTGGTCAGTCCGGAGGTCACCGGGTCAAATCAATCTCCCGGTGCGGCAGCTAAAATAATGGGGGGGGGGGAAGTGTCTTGATCCACCCCCTCTCGCGATGAAGGACCGCTCAGAGATGTGTAAAGCGTGTCTTGCCAAGTACAAGAAAGGGTCGACGAAAATGTTTGAAGAGATATGGAATTATAATTAATAACACGTAATTAATAAATAACAAAAAGGTCAGCCACAACATTTTGGAGGAACGGATATCAAGTAGTCGTAAAACAGTCTCGCCGTGACATCAAGACGATAGACTCTATTTATATCATTTGTTTAAACATTTACACGGAAAGCACATGAGCAAATATCAAAAACGTAGATTGTCGGCAGTATAAAATTACGTTGTTTAAAGACTTCAGAATTTTACAAAGTTAAGATGACTTTGAGTTTTGTATCTTGCGTGATAAATAACATTTGTACTCATTGTTACCGCAAGTTCGTGTGCATTTTGTGCATAGCACTAATCAAGAAATAGATATGTATCATCAATGCTCAATATGTAAATACACACAAGGTGTAGGGGGGATACAAATACAACCTCAAGAGATCTATAAGGTCGCTTGTGTTGCGATCGAAACGTCGTGATTTAATTCTTGTTTTTTATTTCATGTTTTATACCTACGTGACTGTACCGAAAGAACCAAAGAGTATGGATTTTTGCAGTCACGAAAACTTCAAATCGAGAATGAACATCTGTCAGGGCGGGGCAGTGGCGTAGCGGTTTCTCGCGCTGCGTCACCGAGTTCGATTCCTACCCAGGGCGAACTTCGTTGGAGCGGCTTTACAACTACCCAACGTGGTGAAGTATGGTGAAACAACCCCACCGACACTACACGGAAAGGCCCGCATCCAGCAGTGGATTAGCAACAAAAAACAACGGCAAATTCTGCCGTACAAAGTGCATTTCGAACGCTCGCTAGAGTCAATCACTATTTTTGTTTTATTATACCAGGTAAGGAGGGCACCACTGAACTACGTAGCTCTTTTTCAGAAGCGACCTGGCCCCAAATGATCGCTCAACGACGTGGCTTAACGTGCGGAAATTGATATCAGCCAAATACTCTAAACGCGTGTTGATTTTTAATGTGGAGGAAAAAACCACAGGACCCGGCCGTCTGGATCGAACCCACCGACCTCCTGTATACCAGGCGAGGTAGTTAACATGGGGGGTCTGCATCGAACCCACGACCTCCTGTATACCAGGCGAGGTAGTTAAGATGAGGGGGTCTGGATCGAACCCACGACCTCCTGTATACCAGGCGAGGTAGTTAACATGGGCGGTCTGGATCGAACCCACGACCTCCTGTATACCAGGCGAGGTAGTTAAGATGAGGGGGTCTTGATCGAACCCACGACCTCCTGTATACCAGGCGAGGTAGTTAACATGGGGAGTCTGGATCGAACCCACGACCTCCTGTATACCAGGCGAGGTAGTTAAGATGAGGGAGTCTGGATCGAACCCACGACCTCCTGTATACCAGGCGAGGTAGTTAAGACGAGAGGGTCTGGATCTAACTCACGACCTCCTGTATACCAGGCGAAGTAGTTAACATCTCGCCACCGTGGCGCTCCAACTCTGCTGTGCCGTGCTGGGTGAGTGACAATTCGATGAAATTGTCACCAATCGAGGCCAGAGCCGAAGACGCGTTTCGTTTAAAACAACAACAACAACACAAACCCGTACCTTTACTTTCTCGAAGGGGCAACTTGATTTCCTTCCAAGGGCAACACCACCTCGAGTACGTCGACAGCCTACCTACTTGCACAGCCACGCGGTACTGAAGGAGCAAGCCACACCTCGGTCACCTTTGGACCCGTGCGGCACCGAACAAATCCCACCCACCCATCCGCCCGCCCGCACCGAACTCCCTCCCATCCTCGCTCCCTCACCTCAGCACCACACCCGAGCTCACACACCCAACCCCCCCCCCACCCCCCCACCCCACCCCTTCCTCAACTCAAACAAAAATCCCCTTTGGCCGTTTGTTTGTGGCTTCGACGCTCACAGGTTATTTATTTATTTTACAGCCCTCCCTCCCCCCACCATAGTGGGCCACTGAGTAGAAGGTAAGTCAGAGGAGGAAGGGGGGAGCTGTGGGGGAGCTCCCCAATTGTGGGGTTTATTAGTAATTTGTGGGGTTTATTTGTAATTTGCCGCATATCTCAGTGGTGGGGACCAGACCGATGGGAGCTGTCAGCAAACCGTTGTTTTATTCTGGGTGCGTCACATAAGTGATGATAATGATATTGATTTGTTTTTCATATGCGCCCCTCCTTCACCCCCCGCCCCTCCACATGTACACCTTGTCATCTCAGAACGCTCCACATGGCATCTCGTCATCTCAACGCTTTTGAATGGGGAACCTTCGCCCCATATGCGGAGTTTGACTTCTATATTTGGGAGGGGGGAGGGCGGGTATTCGCTTTATCTCTCACATTAGGAATCGCGGTTTCATGTAATAAATGTAAAAAAAAATTAACTACTGAGAATAAAGTGATATTGCTCCCCTCCCCCGCAAACTCCGCCCATACCCCCCCCCCCCCAGTGGCAGCTGTCCCTGTGCAGCAGAAGGTGACTCAGAATCTGACCTGCCAATGGGAATGAGCCTGTCAGTAAGGGCACGATCATTATTGCTATCTACAACGCCAACTGAGTTGTAATACGCGGGGTATTTCTGTAGAATTTGGAAGATCGGAAGGATATAAGTTCAAATCCTTGTTGGGGGGGTTGACTCAGCCCATCATCCCTACTTCCTTCGGGGACGGTTAAAATAGATACCACTTCGTATGGACCAGCGGTTGTCTTATGGAAAGCCTCAACTCCCGCCAGAGGCATGTGGAATTTCTACCGCTAACTTCAGGGCTGCGAAGAGGAGATGGACACCGTGGCATCAAAGGTCATTTTGAGAAGAAAATAACTTTGACTTTGACTTCACTTGAGGCCCTAAACTTTTACTTTGGTTATGCCTCGCGACGCCGCACTGGCGTGGCGTGCCGATGGAACCGATGCCGTGTGGCGAATCTCAAGACTCCGATTCTCAGGACGCGTGCCCGCTCTTCGCTCGGATTTGTGTTTGGAAAACTGGGAGAAAATAAATTAAACCCGTAAAAACAAAGTTTTTCACTATAAATCCTTTATATGCGTGGCGGCTAGAGTCCTCTCGTCCTCTGGCTTGAGATGCCACCTATGGGTCAGATGATTGTCTGCCAGCATTAAGCAATTGGTAAATAAATATTTATTTATTTTTCCCTAAACAGTGTAAAATTTAGGAATTTTTTTTTCACGAAAATTAATTGTCACACACAACGAGTCTGTGTGGAAAATGTCAGCTCGATTGGATCACGGGAAGTGGGGTAAAAAACGACCGAAAGATTTGCACGGTCGTAAGCAAGCAAGCGAACTTAATATAAAGGATTTTTAAAAAAAGCTCGTACATGCGTTCGGCCACCTCGCAGCCTGAGCCTTCGGCAACCGGCACAGAATTCCCGAGAAGCCCTACCCCTTGCGAGTACCGCTCTTGCCAGGATCAACCCTTCTTCTTCCTAGCTTCCGAGATCCACCCGCTGTCGGGTGCGTTCCGGGTGATCTGGCCGTGGTTTTCGTCGTGGTGTTTGGTGGTGGTGGTGCTGGTGGTGGTGGTCGTCATCGTGGTGTTTGGTGGTGGTGGTGCTGGTGGTGGTGGTCGTCATCGTGGTGTTTGGTGGTGGTGGTGGTGGTGGTGCTGGTGGTGGTGGTCGTCATCGTGGTGTTTGGTGGTGGTGGTGGTCGTCATCGTGGTGTTTGGTGGTGGTGGTGGTGGTGCTGGTGGTGGTGGTCGTCATCGTGGTGTTTGGTGGTGGTGGTCGTCATCGTGGTGTTTGGTGGTGGTGGTGGTCGTCGCGGTGCAGGTGGTGATTTCGTCGCTGCCTACTCGATTCGGAGTGGCAGTTGCTGCCACGGATTTTTTTGCCAGCTCACGAGACGACGCTCGGGCGCTGTCGTGGCGGTGACTGCCCAGTGCCATCGTGACTTTTTGCCCGGTGCCAGCTTGCGATGGGGGGCAGGCCGGGGGGGGGGGGGAGACAGCTGGGAGGTTGTATCCTGCTGTAGAGCCATACGACGCATGGCCTATAGTCCGGCCGCTTCTCTGAGTAAATACGCGACAAGTATTTATATTCCGTCATATTTGCTTTAGTGATGTGGACTTATTAATGGATGACCAGATAGCACATTGTATAATAAGCGCCTTATTTATGTCCTTACTCATTCCTCACCTAGCCTCGCACTCACGCGCATGCTTAAGTATGGTCAAGCAAATCCACGTGACCGAGACGGCACCGGGAGGCCTTCATCCAGCAGCGAATTAACAAACGGAAGCCGTTTTATTTTCTCCTGCCGTTGTGCCGTCGGCATCACGTGAACAGGTGCAGAAGCCACGTTAAACTCTCGCAGAGTCGTTTTACGAGCCCGTGTTCAAGAATGGCCTGCGGAACTAGACGTTACAGAACTGCTTCCGAGCGATCGTCGTCACCTACGCAGTAGGGGGTGCACCTTCCCACACACAGTGCTACACGGATAAATGTTCACCACGTGACAATTTGGAATTATTTCTCAAACCCAAGAGCTGAAAATGATACAAATTAAAAGTCAAACCCCAAATGGTATTTGTTTAACGTGGTGGGGTTTTTTTATGAACTAATAAACATTTAAATGTTACGTGAAGCGTTGAATGGACATTTAGTTTTTTTATATGCTTTCCAAAGAGCGTTTGTCAGACGTTCATCAAAACTGTAATGTTTAACAAGCCAAATCAAACAGGAAACCTCAGCGAATATTCACTTATTATTTAGCGACTTGGCTCACACCATCGACTCACCACACCTGAGAAAACCTGGTTTCACCATCGACGGCTGACACTGGGTCAAACTCAAGGACTCAGCGGTGCCAGGTCAGTCCTCTGACCCCTAAGCTCACCAGGCCACCTGCTGCGCTGTTGACCTTTTGATGGGTTAACGGACAAAGCATTGTTCAGAAACCCGTTTAAAAAGGGCAGCTTTTGCGATGCCTCCTGGACTGAACAATACCGGGAGGTTACTCGCCTCGGCTGTTGTTCCAGTGCCCGTGTTTACAATTCACACATCATGGCAGATACTGTGCACTTATTGAAAAGTTATTCTTCAGAACAAAACGAAAGCCCGAAAAGTGTGCGTAGAAGCAAGCTTGGAATTCAAACTGGGAGAAAGAGATGGAAACGCGTGGATCAGAGAACATACGAAAGTTAGGGACATCACACGTTGACTGTTAAGGTGAGTAATTGGTCATGGACAGGACACGTGGCTATCAGGGATGATGACCAACCGACAAGACTGGTCATGGAACAGCAGCCAAGTCATCGAAACTCACCATTGGGCGCCACGGTGGCGAGGTGTTAACTACCTCACCTGATATGGGCAGGAGGTCGTGGGTTCGATCCCGACCCTGACGTCTGGTGTCTATTTGGACTTTGCGTGTTCTAGCCGTGGCTGTGTGGATTTTTCCCCGGGTCCTCCGGGTTTTCCCTCCATATTTTAGGAACACGCATTTCGAGTATTTGGCCACTCTAAATGTCCACGTGATAAGCCACTTCGTTGAGCTATCATTTGTGGCCAGGTCGCTTCTGCTAAAAAAGAGATACATCGCTCAGTGGGCCTTACCTGGTATAAAACAAATATACAATTTTATTAATTTTAGCTTAGAATGTTAATGAATGTAAGTGGGATTGAAAAGACGCATCACGGACACAGACGATGACTGATTGATGAACATTGCAACGGAATGGTAACCAAAGGATGGAAAATAATTCGTCAAAGAGGACGACCATCACAGGGGTGGAGCGATGAGACGAGTTCGTGCGCAGGAGTGACGGGGATTTGCGAGAGATGGAAGACAACTTGTGATGAGACACATATAGATATGCTGATTTTTATTACTCATACGTTCCACGATGGCAATAATTCTTATTATCTTGCGTCATTGGAACTCAGGGTAATGGGGCCATTAGTCGGGTAACCTAATCAGGTCACTGTCCATGACAAGACCAGCGAGATACGCCCTTTCCGTGGCCTGGTGTCTAACATCAACGATTCACTCTGGCCGCACACTCTAACCCAAGGCCGATAGTGCACAGATAGCACAGTGAGTGGCGTATCATCCGGCGCTGCGTCGAACCCAGGACCCATTATTCTAGATTTTAAGCTTTCGTGACTGCAAGGATTCATACTCTTAGATTTTTTTTTCCGGTAAAGTCACGTAGGTAAAAAATGTAATTACAATTAATAAAAAAATAAAAAAATAACAATCACGACGTTTCGGAGGCAACACAAGTCTCCGTCATCAGGTGGGACCGTCACAGCCAGATTTGCTGCATCAAGTGAGGCAGGGATTCCAAGATGCAAGTTCTTAAATACAAGTTAAGGGGGAGGAGGGGGGAGGAGCTTATCAAAATGTGGTAGCCAATGACCCATATCCTTGCCTTTGGTGGAAATTCCACGTTCCTGTGCCGGCGACGAGTCTATGCACATGACGACCACTGTTCACTTCCTCCAACAGAGCGCCCCAAAGTGAGCGTTGATAGATCACTTAATAGACCTGCGTGCGATCGTATACACGCGCCCCGCATTCTTGCAGGTGCTAAAAAGGGTCATTTTTGGTATTTTATTCCCCATCGGTTACCAAGAAAATACAAAGTGCAAAGGTGCGTCGGGAGTGTGTGTGTTTGCTCGTTTGGCGGAGCCCCGTGATAAGCTTTGCTCCATTGAGACAGAGGTAAAAGGTCGAAAACCACCAACAGGTTCTAAACTTTGCTTCGC